CCCCAAAGGCGGTTTACTAATAAAAGTTTTGAAATAAACGTGGTTTTTGTAAAGCGAGCGTTTGTTTTGATTTTTTTACGTTACACCAGATCCTGGTTTTTAATTGGCCAATTGACCTCGGAAAATCACGTGACCGGAAATTCGATCCTACGCCCTGGTGTTGTTAATAAGTTTACGTGTGAATTTTGTGATGTGTCTTAGCAAATCACAAAAAGTATGTGGCTTACTGTGATTACTTCGATTTATTTCGATTATAATAAAATGTAATTTTCTTGCATATTAGATAGTTATAATTATGAATAGGCAAATTGAAGATTTTTGAACCTACTGCGCAGGCCCGCATTACGGAGTTTTCTGCTAATGTGGGCCAAGAATTGTGAAATCCCGCCTGCGCGTCCCATCCCTAGTTATAATAGCATTTTTTTCTTTTTTTTTTAGCAAATATAATAAATCATTATTATAGTATTTTGCTTAGCGAAGTATAATAAATTACTATAAAATAGTATTTTGTTCAGCAAACAGAATAAATTACAATCAACTCTTTCTATAACGAAATAGCATCTTGAAGGAAAAAAAGTTTGCTATAAAAAGTTATTACCGTATTTTCGCGGAATAACGCTCATGAGCGTTATTTCGAAAATTGCGCCCCCTAAAAATAATATATATAGCTTCAAAATGATGTTCTTGTCCCGAAATAACGCGCATCTTATAGTAAGGAGTACTTATTTACAAATGCTCCGGAACTAGATTCACTTAGTATCAACATAGCTCCGGAACATTTTTTGTTTTAGACAAGATGCTTAAAATTTTTACATTTGTCTCAAAATAACTCCTCAAAATAACGCGCAGATGAGCGTTATTCCGCGAAAATACGGTATGCTTTTTTAAGAACCAATGGAACTTTCTATATCGGACTATTATGAAATTTAATGTTTTGAGCTCGTTGTTTCCAGAATTGGTTATATAAATGCTTTTTATATCTAGGGTCGACTGTGTAATAATATATAGATTATATGAAAATTTATAATTATTTTTTTTATCAAGAAAATAAAGCTGTATGGGTACAACAACGAGCACTTTTCTAACGGTTGTAAAACGTAGATGGTCTAAATAATTTACAAGTTTTTTACTAGATAAATTTTTAGAATTTGTGTACTTACACTTTTATTATTAATTAGCAGTAAAATAACATAATTTACTGATATCGAAAACATAATTTGCTAAATTATATCACAGATTTCGCAGGTCCCTGGTTTACAGCATTCAAGGTTTTATTCATAATTAATTATGGCATATGATATAATACCGTAATTCATTAATTACATATGCATATATACGATCAGATAAGTATATAAACAAATTGTCAGAGTTTAGACTCATCCATACCTTGTTTAGCGCAGCTACCTTATGTGAAAAGAAATAATGTATGATAAATGGGTCATGCTGACCAATTAGATTTAAGATTTTGCGAACAGAAATCATTTCAAATGCCGTATAAACGATACACATTGTATTCGTTTCAGGTATAGCCTTAATTCAAAAACAATTATTGTCCAGAAGACTTGGATAAATTCGTACGTATGTGTCAAACAATGTCCTCACATGATAACGACCCAATCGCATTTAAATGTATAATCATGCATGCATGACACAATATAGCATATGGAAATCCTGATCAAATCAAATTTATCGGTACGTTCTCCTGATATTAACTGAGCCTGTTTCCTGTGTATCCATACTGACTTATATTATAATATGAATACCACCAAGGGAACCATGTTTCAGGTTTCAGGTTTATTACGGCCGGATAAGCATTCTATTTGCTTTAACTTTAGCGATAGAGTACATTTTAGAAAACCAGTGATTATATAAAAATTTTGCAGGAATTTTTTTTGTTAGAACATAAAAGGCGGTTTTTTTAGGCAAAATTTCGAGTTATTAGCGACGTTTTAAAACATACCGACAAATTTCACATTACACATGATCTACATTCAACCATTCCTTTTTTGGTTTGTATCACCAACTCTTAAAAAAGAAATAGCCAATTATAGTGTGAAAAATTTGATCAGCCGATATATAATCCGAACACGTGCGAAAGAAGCAAAAACTAGTGTTTAAATCGATCTTGGTGCACTAACGCTAATTAAAAATGTCAGGAATGAAATTTTACATACTTAGTTTACTTACAAAATCGGATTTCCTTTTTTGGTGGTCGGCTAAAACGGAGTGAAGTTTAGGGTTACCTTTTTGACGAAGTTATGGTTAGTGGGTTATATAGATATCAAGAATGTAATTTATGCAGCATGTAAATCATATATTGAATTAACTCCGCTTTAGCCGACCCCTTTTTTGGTTTGTATTACTCTCGACAATAAGTAAAACCAATAAGGATTTTATCAATAACATATAAAGTCACGTGTACCTTGGTTATTTTTGGTGGATAGTTTCTTTATCTTCAAAAATCAGAATATGTTGCCTTTAGATTAAAATTACACGTAAATCTGATAGCACGATTGATTTGGAATTTAGCATTTTATCTTAATACTTAAAAACTTTTTTGTGATTTGCAAACAATAGCATGAAAATTGCCTCATATAATAAATCGTTAGATATTAAGTGCAAAGAATTAGAAATTAAATCTACTTGTTTGCCTCAGTTCAGACGGCATTTTTACCAAGTAATAAATTCTAAAAATCAAATTTTAAACTAAGGCCATATAACTTATTTATTAGAAATATTTACTTAAAACCATATGTTGTGAAAAACAAAAATTCAAACGAAGAAACATTGTAGGAATGTATGTTTGAACAAATAAACTAATAAACTAATAAAAATACGAAAAGTTCAGATTTGCTTTTGCCAGATTAAACGTTAATATAAAGATTTTGCCATATTGAACATTAATTTAGTGAGTTTGCCAGTTTGTAAAGAATTAATTATAAACCGTTTTCATTAATCATTTTTTCTGTATAACTTGATAAGAATATACCTCAACATCATTAATTGCATAGTCACCCCGCTTAAACACAATTATTTGTTATTGATGTATTTTCTTCGGGACATGATGCCAGCATCATTTCGTGTTGAAAGGATTCAAAATTCGAAAGGTTATAGATGGAAGGAAGTTGTGGATAATTATTTGTTATTAATATATTTTCTTCGGGACATGACCAGCATCATTCGTGTTGAGAAGAATCAAAGTTCGAAAGGTTGAAAGTAAAAGAAAGTTGAGGATAACAGTGAGTTGGAAACCCCCAAATCATTCTTTCGAGATATTCAAGTTGAGCGCGAGTTTCAATTCTTTCGAGATATTCTAGTTGAGCACGAGTTTCAAGACGTTCTAGTCTGGCGCGAGTTTCAATACGAGAAGCCCGGCGACGCTGAAGAATGCGCTCTCGATTTCTTTCATAATATCTTCGATTAGCGGCTTGACGGGATGACTTATGCTGAGGCATATTGAATAAGAGATAAATGTGATGGTTGCGTTGAATCCCAACCAGAAAAAAGATTTAGAGGCATGTAAAATTACCGTAATTTATAAATTTTTTTATATTAAGTTACCAAATCATCGGTAATCATCGATAAATTACAGATAAACAACCATGCATGATCTACAATTATTCTATACATTTCGAGCTCGAACCAAAAAAACCCTCATTCGCCTTATAATTTTGGTAATTATATATAGTTTGAGCTCTAAGAAAAAAAAAAATAAATAAATAAAAGCCAATAATTGACAAAATCTGGCGTTCGTTGATTATCTATCGAAATATCCCGAGATACTTTGATATTACACTATCCTTTCTTTGGCTTAATGCCAGTAAAATTTCTGATTAATCCTTATCCGTCAATTTAACTACGAATCTAGACTACAATTAATATAATTTGATAACTTGATCAAAGATCAACATTAAAAATTTGCATGCAAGATGGTGTGAGGGATAAAAAAAATTCACTCTGACTTTTCCCACTTACCGTTCCGGACAATGCACATTTTTCCGGAGCATAACATATATAAAGTCCTGGTAAAAGCCTGTATCATAATCTGCTTCTAATTTCAATGAAGTTCAAAAGGTCAGAAACCGAATATTACCGGGATTTAATTTTTACCCAAAGTTATCATTTTCCGGAATGATAACCTGGGAAAAATCAGTTACGTATTTCTAATTTTTTTGTAGGAATTCAGTAACTTACCCAGATGCTTAGGTAACTTACCAAATGATTTTTTTTTATCTAAATAAAGCTTCAAGCAGTTGCGATCTATTTTAATCTAATATTGTTACGAAGTTATTATTACGTTCAAGCTTTTTTCTCAAATCAGTTCGACTACATTTTTTCTAAGTCAATTAGGGAATTACTTAGTAGGAAGAATACCCGTGACATACAGGATGCTTAAAGCCTCGTCTGTGAAGAGTCTTTGTCTTCGATAATGTCCTTACTTCCATTTTTAGTAATCAGTGTAAAATAATGTACGATATATAATGTAATAGATTTTTAAAATGTCTGGGTATTTTAATCAGAAAAAACCTCTTGATTAAATATAAATCGGCAATATTCATACCCCCTTTAGAGTAGTAAACTCTTCCTATCATAGTATCCTCCTAGTAATAGCAACCGGTATAAATAAATACAGTATATTACGTATAATATTCCTGGGATTATGGCGCAAAATTTGATATTATAAATTGCGGTTACTTTTTCTTTTTTTTAAAAAATTTTTTTACTATCTTAGTGTGTAGAAGTACTCTAAAACTGCATAAATTCAACTGTATAAAATTGAAAAAATTCCTATAGACACATATGATTGTGTGTACCAATATTGGGCGGTCTCTATCGTAACCTTTTGATAATGATAATTATTTGTTACATGAACTGATGGATGAAACTTCTATATCTTCATTCTCATAATGATATGAAGAACTCTGAAAAAAACATGAAACACAAGAGCTCTCTAGCATAATTACCCAAATTATTAATAGTTAACTATATATAAGTATATTTAACTTATCAAAGAATATAACAAATGCCAAATATAGGGGACAGCTAAAGTCTTGTCCGGTTTGAGGTTACTTTTTTGATGGTTTGTGGTTTATAAAAACATTAAGAATATGATTTATGCAATATGTAGATCAATATGATAATTAGACACGGCTTTAGACGACCCCAAATATAGTAATATCTAATACGTAGGAGTGTAACAATTTTCCGATACTTTAAAACATGAAACTGTGAACCAATTAGAATGTTTCAAAATTTAAAATCAAGAAAATTATTTTATTTTTCTGGTTTATAATTAGACATAGTAAAAATTGCTATTTGTAAATCCTATTTATTTTATAAAAAATAAGCTAATTTTAAATTCGAACCTGATCAAAAAAATAGAACAATATATAACGAACAATTAATAATCAATAGAAAATTTACATTTGGGTGATCTGTCACCTAATCTAAATATAGCCATTACTATTTAAACATTATGAAAATTTATCAATACATTTATTTTTGTATAAAAATATATAAAATTGGCGGATCTTTTTTTAGATGTACAGGTTGCAATTCTTTTTTTAGCAAAGTCTCAACACCTTTTTATTCCAATCGCAAGCTACAAAAACGTTTTATCATTTTCTAGTTTTTTTTTTAAATTAAATATTATTAATTACGTTTATTATAAAATTTTATATGATACCATAAATAGTTTAGTTACCAGTAGGGTCCGGAATCGGGCCGGGTTACCCGGACCCGGGCCCGACCCGGCCCGCAAAAGTCTTAGATTGGGCCCGCACTGTTAGACCCGTAATTAGAGTAGGCCCGGCTCGGGTTAAGCCCGACAAAATACCGGGCCGGGCCGGGTTTGTAAAAAAGCCCATTAACTCACTTTTTTTTTAATTAATTTACACTTTATGTTATTTGATTGGTCAGCCTTACATATGTGTATTATAGGTAATTAATATGCTAGAATTATCTCTTACAAGCGTGTATGTCATGCCTGAAGTTGTAACTTCAATAAAGCTATTCAATTTCATGAATATTCACTGGTAAATTTTAAAAAAATTGGATGCATTGAATGATGCCATTCAATGCATCCAATTTTTTAAAATTTACCAGTGATGGAGAGCTGAAAAGATATAGAACAGATTAGATATATCCGAATTTTGAATATTCCGATTACTAATATTACTAAAAGAAGACATAGAAGTAATTAAATCTTGTGTAATAAAAAATATAAACTATGTATTCGATTTTTTTTCCTTTACTGCGCTTTCAATTTACTGTGGCCATTGATGGTCAACCATAACACATGAATATTAAAACATGCATGTTTTAGCTTGGCGGCACAAACTTTGCATAAATACAATTTTTAAGTTATAGGGATATGCAGGCTATGGGCCGGGCCGGGCCAAACTCGGCCTGTATACTGAATTTTCTATTCGGGTTCGGGCCCGGGCCAGGTTTAAACATATTTTCACTGGGTTCATGAAAGCCTGGCCCGACCCAGCTCATTCCGGACCCTAGTTGCCAGACCACTCCAGTGTTATGCACACATCAAAATTATAACTTATATGTTATTGTTATGAAGTGGGCAATAACTAAAAATCAACCCGGATCTGTATTATCCATAATTATTCGAACGTCAGTTCCAGGTTCGATTTTTACTTATACACAGTTCGTGGATAACTGATTTATTTCCCAGTTCTTATTATACTTCTATATGGGTCTGGAAGCACGTCTGAAATGTGTGCCAGGTTTGTGGCGCAGCAAAAACCTTTAAAGTTCGTTAATGTTAGGGTTAGCGTGGTT